AATCCCTTTGGTTCTTCCCATAGTTTCTGTAGTATTGGAAGAGCAAATGCAGCAGTTTTGCCTGAACCTGTTTCCGCAACGCCAATGATATCACGACCCTCAAGTGCATGGGGGATTGCTTCGACCTGGATATCGGTTGGGGTTTTGTATTTTAGTTGTTCAAGTGCCTCAAGAAGAGGCTTTATGATACCGAGAGACTCGAATGTGGCTGGTGCAGCGGTCGATGTGCTTGCTTCCTCCGGGCCAGGCATTTTGGTGGGTACCAGCAGAAAAAGTGCAGTCCCGTTTCCCAGGGTCTCGATCACTTCGGGACCACTGCCGATCCCGAATTAGACGAGAATGACCTCCAATCATCATCTGTGTTCTCTTCCATGGTTGCTGCAATCGATGTGTCCCAACACGTCCTTGTGTCCTATGCAGCCCCGACAATGTTCCTCAACTCAGGGAGCTGGCGACAAATCCAGGAGGGGCTGAAAGCACAATTGCCGTTGCGCAACATTCACTGGAAGTCTGCTTCACGTACTTCGATACGGACGATTCAAGAGCTCGATATCACATTAGTGAACTTCGAAACCTTGCGAGATGAACATACGTCCCAAGTGCCGGCCACTTTATTGGAGAAGCCATTGCTTAACATCTATATCCTGATGTGTGAGGTGCGTAGCCTCGATATAACCTCACGACGGGCTCCTCACAAATTTCTTTGTAGGACTCAGACATAGACGGGTACAAGAACGTTTACAAGAAACAAATTAGAGAGTGGCATGCGACCGTTATCACTCGGAAAAATCAAGAATGGTTCATCCTTCATATTGCCAAGCCGGATGCTCGAGCTCCAACTGGCAACTTCTTTCAGCTCAAGGGCTCGGTCCTAGATAAGGTTCGGGCCGACTTTAATGCTGATAAACGCGACCGGTCAGGGCAAAGAATATTCAGGTGTCAAGTCAATAACTCATTAGCCCTTTAGTTGTGCCCAGGTTCCTTGGACAGTGAATTACGAGAGCCCCACATCCTGGGTCGATGCCATAAATAAGATTAAGGACGGTATTATATCTGCCTTTGATGCGGCTGTTGCACAACGCGAAGACGAGGTCAGACGATCTGAAGGGCAGAGTCAAATGCCAGGCTGGAACTTTTGCACCTTCTTCATTCTGAAGGTTCAGTCTTTCGCTTGACAAATCTCTTGCACACTTACGTTCGCCAAGGAAAGCTTACCGAACTCATTTGAAGGCGTAAACATGTTCGAAGAGGCCCTGCTGCAGTACGACGAACTGGAAGTATCCTTTTCTCAAGTGCTCCGAGAGAAGAACCTGTCGTGGTTTGGGTCGCTTATCACGCCTGGACCAAAAGACGACTCCACACCTTTGTTGCAAATAACGAAGAAGTCATACAGGGACCTCATCCTCGCCAATACGATATCCGTGTTCGACCTTCGTGTCTACCTTCTTGCTCGTCAATGTGAGATCCTAGCCAGGATGGGCAAGATCAGCGAGATCAACAAGAAAGCCAGTACATTTTTGGCTGGGTTTTCAAGGCGGATACGGGAAGTCGAGGTACAATTCTAAAGCCATATATTTCATCCCTTTAGCCGCTCACTAACGTTCCAGGACACCCTCCCGCCTTTTTTCGTGGAATCTTGGGTTTATTCCTCCGCATTGAGCGTTATCGAGCAATGTGATCTGTGGATTTTGCATTTTCCTCAGGAAGGTGCTAACCTAGCACTGTTCAACGCAGGAAAGGCTGAATTGCTCGAACTCGCTCGGCATCAGGTACGACCTACAGTCCAGTCATCGCAGACGAACACTGAATCTGGGTAGCTCGATATTATTGGCGTCAGAGTTGGGCACTTGCCTCACCAACCACCGTTCTCCACGGTTGTCGACAGCCCCGAGGTTCTTTCAAAAGCTATCAACACTAACGCGACTAAAGTCATCAGTAACGAGAAACTCTTGTCCGCGTTGGGCAATGCGGAAGCATTTTATGAGCTATATGTCGCAACCTCGAACAGGGCAATTGAATTATATGCGAAGGCCGGTCGACGCAAGTTTGCCTTGAAACTCCATGGAAGCCTGGCTGCGCTCGACTTGTAAGCTTGATCACGGTCTTCTTTTGTTGTTATTGATGGTCCCTAGACACCGCTCCCGTATTGACTCTGCTTTCACGACATATTCCTCTCTTCCAGCACATTACGCCCCCCACATGTGGACGTCTTTGGAATCTTTTATGCTCTCCCGTGCACTGGATACCCACGCTGCATTAGGAAAACCAAAAGATACAGAATGGATTCATATCTTACTTTCTTTCCTGAAAGTATATGTCGAGTGCGAGGGGAACGACCTCCTGCTACACGGGGAAGAGAAAATAGATTATGTGCGACGCCTTATAACCGAGATGCGGCAGACCGCCAAAGGTCTTGCGACGGGTTTGTTGCGTTTGATTGGTGTATGTATTTGACCGCTGATCATTTCCTAGAACTACCACATGCTGATTATCCAGCACTGTCGGTAATGGTAGCGAATGAAGTTCGTCCAGCCACAACACAGGATGGGGCATTCTTGGATGTAACCATAATCAATAAACTTCCCTGTGTGAGTATTTTTCACTTTGTTGTAGAATTCGTCTCACTACAATCTAGTCTCTCCCCATAGACAGTATATCCGTCCAAATTTCAGGCCGCGATGCTGAAAGATTCAAATTTACCGCCTCCAAAGATGCGTTAGAACCTGGGAAGAACGAAGTTACCCTCTTTTGCCCAGTGAGTCAAGTCAACTCCGGGAGATGCGTTTCTCATATGACTAGACAGCTGCTGCGGGGACCTACTTGCTAGATACAAGCGAAATCCGGAGTGCGCTGCTCCTCTTCCAGATGAACCACCGGAAAAGCCAGAGCAAGACCCGGTCTAAAAGAGACTCGCCTGTGTTGGTGAAGATACCCAAGGATTTCCTCTCTCTTGACATCAAATTATTGCAGCCAACGCGAAGTAAGTGGTCGAAATTATGTATGTTCTATTTGAACTAAGCAAGCACTTCAGTCGAATTGGGGAGACCATCAGTCGTTCTAGTCCGAATCTCCACTGGTAGAAATGATGTCAAGGAAATGACTCTCAAATTATCTGCGAGTGGGGTGACTTTCAACATGAATGAAAGTCTCATTGAAGATGAAGGTTAGTGCTCGCGATTTTGTTTTGTGTAGACTTAGGCTAACTTGATGAAGACGAAGACGAAGACGTCGAACTTGAAACCTCTAACGATTGCATTAAACTATCAGGTTTGTCTGAGGACCAAACACTGGAAGTTATCGTACCACATTCAGACGCTTCGGCGATGGGTGTTCTGGTAACGCTCCTCAACCATTTTTTAACCACCATGCTGACATCTACCGCCCAGAAAACAAATATCCAAGTCGAGTATTCTACCAACTCTGAACCAGACGTCCAACGAATTTTGAACCTCTCGCGAACAATTGTGACCGCGTTACCCATCTCCATTAACGTTGAGGATTTCTTTCGTGGTCCCAAGTGCGCTTGGAACATATGCAAAATGCTAAAATGCTGACAGACGACTCAGGCTATTGTCGAGATTCACGATATCTACCACAACTCAGCAATTCGTACGCATTGCAGACGCTCAGTTAGTCCTGCCAGAGGAAGGGGCAGATGGCCTGAAGATCCAGAACTCCATGACGCGCAACCGGAGTGTTCTGGTGAGTGAGATTATTTTGATACTTGGGGCATTTATTCATCGAAAATATAGACGGTAACACCCGCACAACCTGCGAATTTCCTGTTCCAACTCGAATCTACGGGAGGAGCCAGTGAGTGGATTTGGTCCAATGTCCGTCGTAGAGAAGCGTAATTCCCTTGCAGTTCGGGATCCGCTGAGTCTTGTCGTGAAATATCGCATGCTTCGTGAAGGTCAGTCATGTTATCAGATGATACCACACACAACCATATGGCTTTATAGAGGTCGAATCTCTGGTTGAAGACACCGTGGACGACCTTTTAGAGGAGAAAGAAGCACCTTGGCAACTCCGAGCTCCTCTCATTAACAAGCTAATAGCACCCCTTGGACTGGATGGTTCTTGGATCGAATTGTATCGTGTTACAGGAGAAATTCACATCTCTGGCTCTTTTGACACGGAGGAAGGCGAGATTGGTGACCTTCTAAAGGAAGGGAAAGAAGTAAGATACTTTTACTACACTAACATCCACATATTCACGAAATCCAGAGGTTAAGTCGTAATAAGCACGTCCTACCTCCTCCCGGACCTTGGCACGAAATCATCATACCAGTTGACGTCCCATCCATCGCTGTAAGGTTTCCCAAACTGCTTATTCTGGTTCTCATCCTTGTGTATAGATCGTCGCTGCCGCACGGATATCCCTTTCACCCCCAACTCGCGCTTCCGAACAAGAACACGACACATCACTCTATGCCGGTCAGCCGGTCCCTGCTACCATCACAATACACACAACATTCCACTGGGGCTCAAGCGCGAATGACACGTCGAGACGTTACAGACTTCGCTTTGACGTCGAGGAAATGGTTAAAGATTGGCTGGTCAGCGGACAAAAACGTGGTGACTTTGTTGTTGCGGTATGAACTCATAAATAGGAGCATATGAAGCAGTCGTTCTAATGGATGTTATAGGATGATTCGACGCATACAGTGTCTATCACACTTGTAGCGCTGCATCATGGAGAGCTTGTGCTGCCGAAAATCATTGTGTCTGCTCTTCCGATCGCGGGGGAACTGACGATGGGCTCATTGGCAATACCGACGACGGAATCATATCAGGAACATGGTGCCGAACGAGTTCTTGTCCTTCCGAGAGGTGGTCGGAGTACTTTTGTAGTTGGAATGGGTTCAGGCTAAGTGCTGTAGCTTGTACTCTCACTCCGTGTTTAGTTAGACCTTTCACTTTAAAAATTGCTTGGATTGTTTCTTCCCATGCGAGAGGTTGAAAAGACATTGGAGTGTGAAAAGCGGCCAGAAAAAAAACTGCCCCAGTGAGGCTCGAACTCACGACCTTCCGATGTACTTGATCCCGAAGGACTTAACAGTCGGACGCTGTAACCAACTCAGCCATGGGGCACATGTTCACCGGATGGCATTTTGATGATATGTCATGGCAGTGACAAGTTGATCCGATGATTTACAGGTCATTTACAGGTATCAGACTTGGTGGACAGCATATCGGGGTATTAGCCTCGTGTTGAAGTATTTTTCAGACGCTCTGCAGCCCAAATACCGGTGAGGAGGAAAATATGGCAAGCTAAGAGGACACCGGAAGAGCGTCGTGTAGATGGGAAGGTGTTCCACGCCCATTCGACGTTAGCCATTAATGCGAACCTACAGGATCGGTCAAGTATTCATGATATAGGGGAGCGACGACTTACTTCACAAGCCAAAGATTCGGGGTAGCCCATGCAAGGAGGGGTATTTGTTGCGCGTACCAAGAATAGAATTGATAATGCAAAGATCGAGCAAATAGGATGCCAATCAGATTCGAAGTGAACAAGATGAGCGTGACATCTAGAAAGGGATTTGCATGAGCTCGTATCAGGGAGACCATGCAGAAAAACGAACCTCTAGCACTCATTTTCACCAAACCGGCAGGAAGGGTAGGTTTACTGAGACCTCGCAAGATTGTCTTCCAAGCTCCACCATCAGCAGAACACCACTGAAGGTGACCAAACGCAATCAAGGTGACGACATGACCTAATAATAGTGTGCGTGCAAAAGTGGGACTGAGGAAAGCACTTTCACGGACAAATCGCCAATTGACGGTCCATTCGTATAAGAAGACGCGTGAGAGGTCGAAAGCACTGCGGATGTATGCCCATGCGTCGTGCTGCACAAATGGCCACGCCAGCAGGACTTGGCTTGCGAGGATGATGGATACAAGATGAGCAGTAGTGAGTAGGCCCCTTCGCTTGTAAAATATGACGAGTAACCCTGGGAGGTACACAAGTGCGGACATTTTTACGGACAGAGCTAGGCTGCACGGAATCAATCGGAATGCCAGGCGGCGGACAGGAATACTGACCTGTAGAGCAAGATACCAAAATGGTCCAACCCACCCTGGAACGCAAGGACCGCCAGTTGCATCGGTACAAGTGTCCAACAGTCGTTGAAGAGCCTCAAAACGAAGATTGAATGGAGGCGCTTGCTCAGAGGGAGAAAAACCAGGAGCCAGTTGGGAGCGCCTGCTCGACGATATATAACGCATGAAAGGAACAGTGTTGTCAAGTATAAAGCCGCATAAATTTGTTGTGCTAGCCATAGGTTTTGCCCCGCATCGGTGATTTTGAAGAGAAATTGGTGAATATAGAGGTGACCGACTGGATAACTTCGCGTGGCGGTCAGTCAGGTCGGCTTTACGAACACATATCATGGACACGTACACCAACGGTCCAGTTGGTCCAGATATCTTCGAGTAATCCATTTCTCCTTTCAAGTAAACAGCAACCTGGACCATGTACGTCTCCCAGTCAATCTCCGTGTCTTGAGAAATGTCAATACGAGAATGTTCAAACGAGGCAGCACGTACACGAGATGAAACGGATTATGAGCTGCGTTAAGACGGCATCCCCGAAGATGACAAGGGAAGCAAAAGGCCAGAAATATTTTGGAGATGTGAGCAGAGCGTAAAGCCTACGTCGGACAATGGTGAGTACCATCTAGAGTTGTCACCGGCGCAGTCATGATTGACAAAGGCATAAACAAGTTGAAATCTCTCACGAACGAACGCGTTGCAAGATCATTTTTGGTTTAAAAATACATGTATTTCTCGAAGAAAACCCTACAAAAGTAAACGATAATGTACTGCATTGTGTAATGTCTTTGATGTGTATGTGATAATGGATGATTGGGAATGATGTATGTGTGTGTGATAGGAACGAAATTAGAAGCTTTAAGGTGAAGTAACGAGCGGCCAACAAGGTAGTGGTGATGTGCACTACGATTCACACTGCCTTGAAGATTTTAGAAATGCGCGCTTTGACGCTGAGGCTGGTATAGGGTAATGAATACTGCAATGTTGAGATGAATCCCCCTTAGGGTTTCCGGAATTCACACAACACGGTGTAGATCGTGTTGAAGGCAGTATAAATCTCCTCTCTGACCTATTGGTCAAGGCAAAGGGGTCAGCATACGCCAATAAAGATATTAGGTGATGGCAACATCGCCTTCAGCGAGTGAAGGAGAGGGAGAATCACGAGAGAAGGCAGTGTTTACCTTGGCACCAGTCAACACAATCTTTCCCGACACGAAAATGAGTAAAACCACTTTGGGCTTGATCATACGGTAGATGAGTCCAGGGAAAAGCTGGGGGGAAGAGTTAGGGAAAGCGAGACCACAAAAAAAAAACAAAGGAAAAACCTACTTCGGGTTCATAGCTGCTGAACTGTCCATGGCTATATGCCAACCCTTCCAATCGGATAGGGAATTTGACGTCGCAGCTCCCCACAATATTTTGGATCTTAAATTCAGAGAACTTGGCGTCGAAGCCAAGCTTCTGCACAATGCGAGCGTATTTGCGCGACGCCAACCGCGAGTCATCCTCCGACTTCGCACCAGTCACGACCATCTTCCCCGACGCGAAGATGAGCGCGGTGGTCTTCGGGTCGCGAATACGCATGATGACGGCGGCAAAACGCTATATAATGCGAGACAAATCGAGAAGCTCGACATGCCACACAATTGAAAATCACATAGGTACTAACCTTAGGATTATATTCCGCATTGCGAGCATGAAGCGCGATGGTCTTCAAGTCCAGACGGCAATCGAGATTCACAGTAGCGACAATGTTTTGCAAGGTGGGCACGATGCCTTCGACAGCGGTGATGTGTTGTTGCTCTAGCGTCAAAGGCACTGGAGTGGCTGGGATAGACGCGGCCGCAGGAGGGCTGGAAGGCCCAGCAGCGGCATTGGTGGCAGCAGCAGCGGTGGTGGGTGGGGTGCTAGCCTTCTGGATGGCGGCAACAGCAGCTGCAGTTTGCGGGGTGTATGAGTTAGAAAGAGGAGAAGGGCCGGGTAAGGCTAGCCCGGCGGGTGGTTGAGAAAGGTAGGGGTTGCCGGAGGGCAGCGCCAAGCCGTGTTGGGACTGCTGCGCCTGTTGTTGTTGCGGGGGCTGATACTGATTCTGTTGGGGTGGTTGGTACGGCTGCTGCTGCTGGGTGCGGCCAAAGGTGATCTGACGAGCGGGAAGTGCAAAAGACATGGCGCGAAAATTCAAAGTCGGCGTGGGAAAGTAAAAATGGGGGATCAAGTTGCATTTTCAGACCGCGAAACCGCGTCCTTATATACGGTCCAAAATTCAAACTCCGACAGTGGAGTCATCTCATCATTACGTAACTCTTCTTTCTTTGTCTTCTTTCCTGAGCTGGGTCTCTTCAAAGGCTCTTGCAATTCGCCATTGTTTCCTTGTCCTACGCTTCAACGTCACCTGGCAACTTTCTTCCCGACATGCCTCGGTCACTATTCCGCGATTTTTCACGCCCTCTTCATCGACTTTTTCAACCGCCATGGCCTGCAGAATGCTGGCGAGAGCCCATGAATGCCACGTCACCCGCCCTGACAACCGTTATCACATCAATCCATATCTGACACCCCTAGCCTCATCGTCCCACCACGCTTTCTTCTCCATTTCCTCTGGGTCTTCCAGCTCACCATGCGCCTTCACCCAGCGTCATAGCACTCGTATCTCTTGCTGTTCAAGAGCCATAACTTCATGTCGTACGCTCAAAATAAGAACCTTCTATTTCTATTGTCGCGTTGATCAATTTGTTATCTCTTTGATGATTGAGCTCCATTTGGGTGCCATTCCCACGGGTACCGAGTCAGAACCCTTTTTTGAAATGAATCCCTTTTTCTTCATGAAAGCACGGAACTTGGACACATATCCGCAGCAAACATCGATTGAAAACGGCGCCGTGAAGTTGACGAGCAGCGCTAGGTCGGGAAGAGTGTGAAGCATGTGAAGCCTCGCATTCCTATCCGATGGCTATTTCGCAACCGCACAGCTCCTGCTTCGCGTTCCTGTCAATTGATGTCATCGATCTTCGAGATTATCCTTTGATCATTCCGCCTGCGTCCTGAAGAAAAAAATTCAAGTATGGTGATATTCGTGCCTGCCCCGCACGACGCTATCGGTAGGTGGGACCTTAATAATGTAAGTCGATCGAAAACATATGGCTTCCATGAATTACACACCATACTTGGAAGCATTCTAAATTCATGGTATCACCTGTCTTCTGTCATTCTGTCGAAAATATAACTCACTCGATAAAAATCAATGCGCTGAGAAACGAGGCGCCTGTTGGGTGATAATTGGAAACGTAGCACACCAACGAAACCGAGTGACGGTGGTCAGTGAGATGCGCCTGGAAAGGCTTAGCACCCGGTCCTTGATAGATGTGGTCCACAAACACAATCATTGCATGAAAACGATAAAAATACCGCGATATAGGATTGCAACAAGCGCCGAAAAAAAACCAAGATAACCTTACTAGGGCTGGAGGCACGGAGGGGTATTCTAAAAATTACGAGTGTCCCATGACGAGAGGAACCTGGTGTGTGCGCAAGGCAAGAGCAAATAATCAAGCGAACTATTAGCCTCCGTTTACACGCCAGCCACAATCCTATAAAGTCAATTAGCATCAGACGCCACACATATAAGAATCACCCACTCTTCCGCTTTGTTAAGCGCTTGTACCATACTAATCACTTCCTTCCTCCGACTTACAACGTACTCGCTTTCCTTAAGCAGCTCTTCCAAGACTTCGGGTTTGTATAGTTCTTGGAGCAATTCCCGCTGAAGGTTCTCCTTGGAATGATTCACTAGCGTGAGTGTGATGGCTTTTGGCACCATATCAATCATCTCTCGCTTGACGATATTATAATACGAGTGAATAAGGAGCTCTGACGAAACAGGGTAAGTGTCACGAGCAAAACTCGGAGAGAAGACAAGAAACTCAACTGATAACCTCAGTTTCCATTGTTTCTCTCTCGTTCAGCGCAGATTGAGGGCGAATGATTTGTGGTGGTGCTTCCATAATCGGGCCACCCTTCTTTTTCTGAGCAGCCTGTTT